TAAATATGTGACATTTCATTAGTGGGTGAGTGTGGTGTGATTTTATAATTATTGACACAATTTAGTTCGTGAGATTTTATTTGTTTCTTAAGTTTTATTTCAATATTTTAAATGTTTTTAAGCATAATGTTATATTGTTATATGCTTTATGAGAGTGTTTTAGTCATTGAATATTTAATATTTTTTTATATTATACATGACACACGTTATTTGTTTTTGTATTTTTCTTCTTTAATTGATCCGTTCACGACAATGTGATCCAATAAGATTATCTTATTATTAAGAAAATATATTTCTAACATAATTTTCTAATAAACACTATTTCTTTTGGCCTTCTAATAAATCCAAGTAGGCCTTTTTTATTTTATTTTTATTACACACATTGTCTCATATATTAATCTTAGTTCCACTTAGTTTTTGTAATATTTCTGCACCTCCGGTATAAAGATTTAAAAGTTAATAATTGTTAAATATGAATTGTTGATGATGCATCGACAATATAAAAAACTCTTATATTATTATTGGAAATATTTTTTTTCTATAAAATTGCAATTTCTGTTATATGGGTGCATTGTGTGAGCTTGTCTTGACTTTTTTAAGGTAACATGTTGATTTTGAAAGCAAGAATCTCATTCTTTATGTTTTTGACTTTTTGATAATAGCCATGTGAATGTTTGTCGTAATGGATGTTGAAATGACACTAGACTTAGAAAGATGTTACAGCTCATGAGAATTACTTTATATTAATTTGGGGGTAAATTGATTCTATTAAGTACAATTATCACAAAGTTTCTTTGCCTATAGTCTATATTTGTAATGCAGAACATGTATGATTTTATTTATGAGCCACAACTTTTTTGGGATATTGTTTGAAAATAATCCAATCTAAGCAAAATTTCCATGTCATTGTATGATTTCACAACTATACAACATATAGATAATCGATTAACTACATTATTAATCGACTATATTACAGAATACATATCTATCTTGTCAGATATCTCACTATGATATGGGGATCTTATTTGAAACACAATTAGCCAATTTTTACCTTACTATAATGCTAATTCTTTTAGATACCAAATGTGCAGGGAATTCTAAAGTTAGAAACAGACCAATGATTTTTTTTAATTAGAAAAAAAGCTAATTTTAGCTTTTATTGTGGTTATATTGGTTTTCCCACTAAAAGCAATTTTGATTTCATGAGAGCATTTAGGTTCAAATTGTAAGGAAACATTTTGTTTGTGATAAAAATTTGGTCCAAATTGCTAATTAAGACATGATGATGCCTAGTATTATATGGATAAATGTTAGGAGTCATACATTGAGTAGAATAACAAATTTAATGTGGTACTTAAGTCATGAAGCTCTTCACCTAATAGACTAGTCTTTTGGGTTGGGCTCACCTCATGTGCTTAAATCCTAACAATTGGTGCTTGCATCGAGACTTGTTCCACGGAAATGGCTATCTATAGGTTGGATTAAGGTACATTACCGAATAATGATAGGTGAGGGAAGCCACCAAAAGAGAAATGACTACCATCGGGTCAGTGTCGATAGAGTGAAAGTCATTATGGACGTCAGCCCGTAAAGGGGCAGCAACGTTAGGAGTCACACATTGAGTAGAATAACAAACTCAATGTGATACTTAAGCTATGAGACTCTCTCACCTAATAGACTAGTCTTTTAGGCTAGACTCTCCTCATGTGCTGAAGTCCTAACAATAAACTTCACCTTTGAACTTTTTAAGGCTTCTTTAAATCTTGGCCTTAAGTTTCTATTCTTTTGCATCTTATATGCTTTGTAACAATAGACTCTGCAAATTTTGTAACATTATTACCTTTGTGCATCTTTTGAAATATTACCATTTGAATGCATTTCACAATTCTAATCTTAATTTGCAAATATTGATAGATGGAATGTGTGAAGCCATCAGCAGTGAACCCGAGAAAGAAGTTGGCCCGCGATTTCACCGAGGTTCTTCGTCTTAGAGCATTGATTGGAATTGCACAAGTTGATGGTTTAAACAATGCTGATGAAAGTGTCAAGGATGAAGGAAACATGGACATTACTACAATAAATTGGACTCTCCACACAAACGATGAAGCGCTTCACGAAAAAATAGCCGAAGAAGCTCTCATTGCGAAGCTGTTTGCAAGTACTTCAACTGTGAAAGCTGCATATGCTCAGCTACAGTTTTCTCAATCACCTTATGACCCTGATGGAATCGAAGCCGCTGATCAAGTCATGGTTTCTGAGTTGATGCACTTGTCTGAGCTAAAGCGATGTTACTTGAAGTTGAAGAAACAATTTGATCCATCACCGAATTTAACAATTCTTGCAGCTGAATCGAAGGAGCTGAGAAGTGTTGTAAAGAGCTATGAGATTACGGGGAAGAAGCTAGAATTGCAGGCGCGACTCAAGGAATCAGAGGTTATGTTTCTTAGGAAGAAGTTGGAGGAAGCTATAAGGCAGAACAAGTCAATTGAGAAGAAATTGAATGAAATTGGGCAATTATCTCTGCTTGATAATCTTCATATATCAGGATTAAGTCATAGCCATTTTAATACTGTTCTTCGGCGCGCGATTCGGTCAATCCGAAGATTTGTGAGGTTGATTGTGGATCAGATGAGGTGTGCTAGTTGGGATATTGAGGCTGCAGTTGATGCTATAGAACATGATGTTTTATACTTGATAGAAGATCACAAATGTTATGCAATTGAGTCCTTTGTTTGCAAGGAAATGTTCGATTCATTCCATTTCGCGAATTTCTCTCTTCCGAACGAGTGTCTTCCGGATAAAAACAAGCAACGACAATGGTTCTTTCGGAGGTTCAATGAGCTGAAATCCACGAAAGCGAACGAGTTTCTTGCTGAGGAACCAACATCATCATTTGCAAAATTCTGCAAGGTTAAGTACTTGAAACTTGTTCATCCCAAGATGGAGTCGTCATTCTTCGGTAGCCTTAGCCAGAGGAGCATTTTGAATGCTAGAGGGTTTCCGGGCACCGAATTTTTCACATCATTTGCAGATATGGCTAAGAGGGTGTGGCTTTTACATTGCTTAGCCTTTTCTTTTGAGCCTCATGCTTCAATCTTTGAAGTGGAAAAAGGGTGTAGATTCTCTTATGTTTATATGGAAAGTGTGAATGATGAAATGTTCATTTGTTCAGATCAGATAGTAGAATCAGAATCACATGTTGCTTTCACTGTGGTTCCAGGTTTTAGGATTGGTAAAACTGTTATACAGTGCCAAGTTTATCTCTCACAGCACCAAACCAAGGTTAAGAAGTTCACTTGCTCATAGCTAAGGTAGTGCTGATTTGGATTAAGTGTCTTTAAAAAAACGCGGTTTTGACGACTTCAGCAAATTCGATTCATTAGACGAAGATTGGATAGCTTCGATTTCAAACTATATTCATCCAAGCTGATAGATATTTATCAAATGATTCAAATTTGCTGAAAAAACACGGTTCTAATGACTTCAGCAAATTTGATTCATTGGATGAATATCTAACGGCTTAGATTTCAAAGTATATTCATATATTTATTAAGTGGCACGGGTTTGTTGAAGTTACCAAAGATGTCATTTTTTGTCGTGAATCCAAATCCAGTAGTAACAGTTGTAGCTGATTAGGCACTAACCCAACAACACAAGGGATTGAACTAGAAGCCAATTTTTTCAACTATGGTTTGAAGGAAAGGACATAACCGTTGGTAATGCATGATCAATGGTGCACTTTTGTTAACTTGTAATTTGGCCAGTTTGAATAGAAATGCTTGTGGATCTTTGCATTGTCGGTAAAGATTTATTGATAGTCAGTACACTGTTCACCATTCAATTATGTTACTTTTCTGAAGACTGACAAAACATTAATGATGAATGATGCAGTGATAATATAAAAAACTTATATTATAAGTACATATATATTTTTGTCTATTATTAGTCATGTACTCAAATTTTATTTTAATGTAACTTGTAGCCTTGGAAGACTCTAAATGTTATATGTAATTGTCAGATTATTCTTCATTCCTTGTGTGGAATGCTAATAAATACATGTATTGCTAAATGCCAATTTTGCCCTTATATATGAAGATAATTTAATGGACCTACCTAATTTATAGGACAAAATAGAATAAGTTATCTCCTCATACCAGGAGATAATTTACGCCCTACAGCCATTAAAAGAATGACATGTGTATTGTTTTGTTTAGTTTTAAAAATATTTTTTGTAGAAAATGATTAAATGATACAAATGTTATGATTTTAGTGGTCGGAAGAGATAATTTATCTCCTTACACTAAGAGATACATTATTGGTGAATAATTGGGTTGCGGTGAAGTAGAAAATAGTAAGGATGTGATGGATCTTGGTGAAGTAGAAAATAGTAAGGATGTGATGGATCTTGGTGATGGGGGCTAGTCATGTCTCTTTTAGAAAGATGACATCTTTTTTGAAAAATAATTGTGGGTCAATTCTTTTGATATCATATTACAACATCAACTTTACATTCAATAGTGGCCTAAATTAATCTCTCATAGCCATCAATGACACTAATTTGGATGGTTCCATGAATGAAAGAATGAATTAATAGAACCAGCTTTGAAAACTTCTATAGAAATTATTGTGAGCACTTTAACTAACTCTTAATAATGTCCTAATACCTTTTTCTTTGGCAACCATCCATGCACCCTTACAAATTATGTTCACATGCCATGTTTGATTCCTAAACTCACTCCACATATGAATTCAATTATTTTAGTGTAATACTCACTATAAATAACGTTACTCTATAGAGTATTATTTTGGTCTAGTTCAATATAATAAAACATTAGTATATCATTCAAATATCTTGTGCTTTTAAGGTAGTTATTATAATTTATACGAATCAGTTTTTAATGTTTTATATTCATGTTTTTAAAATGTAAAATAGTTTGTGGGGGATGTATTAAAATAATGAGTATTATAACACAGTCAATTATCTAATTTAATTAAAAAAACGAAATTTCCGTTGCCGGGACTTGAACCCGGGTCTTTCGGGTGAGAGCCGAATATCCTGACCAACTAGACTACAACGGATTGTTGAAACTTACTACATGTAATGCTTTAATATTTAATATGAAACGTTAGAAGTTTACATAATGATTTATGTGATTAAAATGTACTATTGTCAAAAGGCTTCATTTTCATACATTTGATTCATGTATAGTTCTCATGTGAGTCATTCTCATATATATATATATATATATATTGAGTAATATGCATTAATCTAATTCTGTAAATATATTTTCAAATTTTGAATGCTTTTACATTGTCTTACTTGGAAATAACAGTTATTTGTTGGACTTGAATATAAATTTAGAAATGAGTAGTATAATTTTATATAAAGTTGATTTGTGTCATTATAAAAAGAAAACATTTTTTTGATTTTGTTTCCATTTATAAAGAAATATTAAATTATTAAAAATATATTTTCTTTTACATGTATAACTATTTGAATATAATATATTAAAAATAGAAGAAATAAAAACATAAGATACTGTGTTTTTGTTAAATTGACAAGTTAAAAATGACTTTATTTTTCTAAAAGATCCAATAGATATTCAATAGAAAAGAGCATATACTACAAGAAATCTAATTATATCTAAAACAAAATATTTTCTTTTAATAAAAAAAATCTAATTTTGTTTCTACATGATCTCAAAATCACATAATTAAAAAAACCTAATGAAAGCTTTAATTATATCTTTTAACTCACATCATCAAATTCTTGAACAATTATTAATGTTTTGATTTGTAAAGGAGTTTTGAATATCTTAAGAGGTCATAAATTCAACCATTAGGAAAAAAACTATTATAAGTGAGAAAATACTTTAATAAAATAAAAAATGTGTTGACCAATTAATTTTAGATGATTTCATAACATATTAATAAGTCACTTTATTACAAAACTATACTCCTCTAATCCTTTTTTATGCTTTTAATAATTTGGTTTTGGTATTCTTTTACATAATATTTTTCAGAATTTTGAGTACAATTATTATTATTATTTTTATAAAAATACCCTTATTCTTGTCACATTGATTATATAGCACAAGAAACATCTTTATAGACTCTGAAAGGTTTATGTATTATTAGCAAATATCCAAAATGAAAAGCTTAGTACAATGAACATGTCATCCTCAACTATGTAATATAGCATTTACAGATTATAAATTTTGAATAAATTTTGAATAGTAGCTTTAATACTCATCAATTGCATAGCAAACAATCTGAGAGCAATTTTTATCGGTAGGTTGAACTCAAATTCTGGAAACAGCCTCTTCGCTTCCAGAGGTAAGACTATTACATCTATTCTCCCTAGACCCTCCTAAGTGCGAGTCTCGTGCACTGGACCGACTTTTTTTTTTTTAGTCGAACTCAATCCTCCTTTCCCCTGTGAATGTCAAGTATATATCTATTTAAATGCTGGCCAAATGTCTTTGTGGAAAATGACTCAACAACATGCTTCCTAGCTTCTCTTCCCATTGTTTCAGCAAATTGTGGATCTTCAATGAATCTAGTCATTGCTAAAGAAAAGTCTTGTGGTGTAGGATTGCAAAGGAAACCTGTTACACCATTCTTGATTGAATCCACAGGGCCACCACTATTGCATGCAATAACAGGTTTATAAGCAGCCATTGCCTCCAAAGGAACAATGCCAAAATGTTCATCCTGCATCAATCTCTTTCCTCCATACAAGTTTTACCAATTTTCCGGGATCATAGTTTGTAACGTTTCGCGTACCTTCGGGGTGTAAAGGACGCATAGGCATTCTGAGAGAAGAGCATTCCTTTCAGCTGTAGAGCACGATACGACGAATCTTATTTTGTTAGAGACTCCTTCCTTTTCCGCTAAATCTTTAAGCTCTTCTAAGTATTCCACGTTCTCCTTCAACCGTTTATCAAAGCCACCTGGCACAATTTAAGACAATAATTTCATACTAAGAACATAAGGTTATATTCGGATAGTGATGTTGGTATGAACCAGCGCAAACATGGACAAGAAAAAAGTACTTAGTTCCATGCAATTAATGGCTAGTTCTTATCAGCAAATACTAGTAGTTCACATCTAGACGGGATTGGATTTAGTGACTTTGAAAATGGCGACTTCAACAAATTTGAGCAATTGGATGAAGATCGGAATACTTAAACGAAAATTAGATCCAAAACCCAATTCAGAATCTAAGCCATCCGATCATCTTCCAGGCTTGAATTAGTTTAAGTCACCAAAGTCAGTATTTTTGAAGTCGCTGAATCCAAATCCCATCTAGACACCTTAGTGACAACTGATAAGGATGTTAGTTTTGTATTGACAACTCCTAAATTCCTTAACTAGATTTGGTCATTGTTTCTTGCTCAAAAATTATGTACAAAAGGCAAAAAATAACTCATTTTTCACTGTAATATTGCAAATTATTCACTATTTTAGAGAAGTATTTATACGTATAATCTAAAAAATATGGAGAATCTAATTCTTTAATTAGATATGTTGAACTGTTTTTTCACAATAAGATTTTGTAACCCTTATACCGATGCACTCCACATCTCACACAATGAACTTCCAAGTTTAATTAGCAAATGCACTTTCCATGTCAATTATGGAAATGATCAATGGGAAAACATATGACAAATCCCAGCTAATGCATCTGATTGAGAACAGTTTGCACTACAATGTCACGCTAGATGATTTGCCTCTAAACTGCACCACTGTACAGAACAACAAAGTCCCTTGACTCACTGCAACAAACTCATCACATGAAGCTAACTAGCATCTTGGAATGCAAATGATAGAGAAAGAATAAAAAAGTTTTGAAACTCAACAAATAAGTAGACGAAAAAAAGGACGGCCAAGTGCATGAGGCTCCCACCTAGTGGGTGGGAAGAATAGATGTACACAGCCTTATCCTCGCAAGGGAAAACTCTATTTCTAGGATTTGAACCCATGACCTCTAAGTCACAAGGCAAACAAGCTTACTTTGCGCCAAAAGCTCACCCTCTGACAAATAAGTAGACACTAACATTAATTTTATTTTTGGATAATAGTTTATTAGGAAACACGAACATGGCATGAGACATAGATATGACACAACATAGGGATATGGCTAAAGGAATTTAAAATATTATAGAATATGGTTAGGAGTGTCCAAAACTGTCTAATGCAGATATACGTTTTACACGAACACGATGACTATTGTGTAGGGTCTATCAACTTATCATGGCAATTAATTGAGAATGTAACATCGCCATAATATCTATCAACAATAAAAAAGTCATAAACAAATAGGTGCTCACCTGCAACAGTCAAAGAAGCATTAGTGATATCTTGATGCTTGAGAACCCCTTCAGGTGAATGAAGCATAGCAAAAGCTGAAATTACTAATTCAATGTTCTTCTTCCTTTCAAAGCGATTAATGGAAAGAAAATTCATACTACAACAGAAGTAACAATTTCAAAAGTATAAGTCACAAGACATTAAATCAATATTGTAAAAAATGTTGCTAATAATAGGGTACTACATGTATAATCTTGTAAAGCATGCCAAAAAGTATGAAGCACCAATATATCTTCAAACATAACACTTACTTAAAAGAACTAGGTTCATTGAACTGATCAACGTTCACAGCGGGGTATAGAGTGGCGGGTCGAATCCCTTTAGCATTGAGATGCTTAAAAGTGTTTGCAAAAGTAGATGCAGTGAAGTTGCTGTTAACAAGTATCAAATCAGCCATTCCTGCAAATCAGAAAAGCTTAATGAGATGCATGATTCAATATGTATGCAAAGAAAATAGTCCAGTGAAACAGAACAAATAAGGGATACAAAGTTCAACCAGTTTTTATTTCTTCCACAAAATCGATTGGTTTCCTATACATCCTCCAGAGGAATGTTGAATGTTGAGCCAGTAACAAGTCTGGAAAATGACAATAGAATACAACCTATGGATAAAACAAAACAAATGAAACAACTACGAAGAATTTACGATGTCAAAAACTTAAATTTACATACAAATTTTATCATATACTGTTGTATCGGTAGCCCGCAACAATGACACGAGATAATCTTTACTGGCTGAGTCACGACCAGGTCGCTCTCTTTAAGACGTTTCGTGGTACTGCCTCAAGGTGCAAGCAGACTATCAACCACGCCGTCCCCAGGATAAAACAGCTCAGCTCTCTGTTATACGATTTCTTACTGCACTGTAAGAATCGTTCTCGAATACACCCAAAAATATGGCTTCCAGTGCCAATTCCAAATACCCACAATATTGGCTTCCCATGCCAATTCTATTCCAACAACTGACTACCAGTGTCAGTATTGGAATTTCCCATAATATTGGATTCATGTTCCAACTCTAGTGCCACGGAAAGAAAGGGAGAGAAAGGAGGCCGGAATTGCGTCGGCAGAATATATGGAGGGAGAAAGAAAGAAGCTTGTATAAGCGTACAAGCTTCAGGTGCAAAAAATAATGAAGGAAGAGACCTCTATTTATAGAATGAGATTTTGTCACTACTCTTGCATCCTCCAATGTGGGACTTGTGAGATTTTTTCAAAATCTTTCAATGTGGGACTTGTGAGGTTTTTACAGAATCTTTCAATGTGGGACTTGTGAGGTTTTTACAAAAAACTTCCAATATGGGACTTGTGAGTTTTTCAATTTCACATCCTAAGGTCCACACTAATGGCATCAAACTACAAAAGTTCCAACAATCCCCCACTTGAAATTAAAAAACGATTTCCGGGAATTTCTGTGGTCTCATTAAGATTGTGCATAAACAAAGGTGTCATACGACTTGAACCTTTGCATAGTGAGTAAGATCCAGATTTTACTAGAGTGACTCGTAGTCTTGAACTCTATCTCCGGCATCAAACCACACACAACCTTTTCACAGGTGTATTCAATAAAGCCCGTGCGTTAAAGGCCATGCACGTCTATCCCAGTTTAGTGATGCCTCTTAAATTTCATAGAAAGCGGCCCCCACTTTCACATTCACATAGGTGAGTCTATCAAGAGTACTCCTGTAGTCTAGGTACTCCACTCCA